TTTATATTACCCACTTTTAAACTTTTTTTTTGGAATAATTTACAGAAAGTATGGGAAGAAAGTGAAGAGAATTTCTGTATATCTTTCACCCAACTTTCCCTAATGTTAACATCTTACATAGCAATGGTATGTTTGTTAAGCCTCACAAAATAACACTGGTATAGTATTATTAACTAAATACAGAGTTCAGTCACATTTTTTTAACTGTTGTCCTTTTTCTGTTTCATGATCCAGTCTAGCACATCACGTTGCATTTAGTTACATCCCCTTGGTCTCTTGTAATCTTTGACAGTTTTGTAGTTATTGGTTTTTATAGACCTTGTTTTTCATGACTTGAGTACAACTTTTGAAGACTACTGGTCAAGTACATTGTACTCAATTTGGGATTCTCTGATGTCATCTCATGATTATACTGGGGTTATAGATTTTGAAAAAGAATACAACAAAGGTGAAGTACCCTTCTATCTTACATCAGGGGATACATGATGTTAACATGACTTGTCACTGATGATGTTAAACGTGATCACCTGCTTATGGTGGTGTCTGCCATCTCTCTCCACTGCAAAGTCACTATTTTTCCATTTCCATTCCCTATTCATTGGAAGTGAATCACTAAGTTAAATACACCTATATGAGGAGTAGAATTAAAATCTACATCCTGGAAGAAATATCTAAATATATCATTAGGAATTTTCTATAAGTGAGTGTCTTTAAGAATTCTTCCTTTCTTCCACACCTTTTCTGTCTAGTCATTTATTTGTATCAGTATTGATTCATGGATATTTGTTAATTTTTTGAGTCTTATACTTATCTATTTTGTTGCTCAAATTGTTCTGCCTTCGGCCTTTGGGAGTTCTGTCAGGTTGGTTCCTGTGTCCTTTGATGTGCTTCATCCTTTGTTTACCTCTGTCTTTTCCTACGCAATTCCTTACTTTCTGTCACTACGTGGTACCTCAGACTCATCTTGTATTTTTCCTGCCCTAGTTCTGAAATTTCTCCAGCTCAGCCATTTCTCAAGGCCTCCTGGCTCCTGTTGTTGATGAGTTGTGTTTGGAAACCAAGGTATAGGCTGTTGCTGCTCCTGGGGTGTCACCTTTCTAGGCCCTCTCAGTTGGTAGTACTAGAAAGGATACCTGTGTATGCCAACCCATGTGTACACATATGTCTAATTATTTCTGTGTCTGGTTATCTGTATGTATATTAAAACAAAGGAGTTTGTACTGATAATGCAACTATAATCCAGCACCACAGGGTCATTCTACCCTTTCCCCTTGCTTAATTGTAAATTCTTTCTCTGACCCTGAGAAACCTGGCTCCCTATTTGTTCAACCTGAGTATACATGTAAACTAGTTTCAGGATTATTAACTCCTTTAAGTTAATAATAACTCCCATAAGAAACCGTGTACCAACTAGAGCACTATGTTTGTGTGTAGGCCTTTCTGTCTTTAGCCAAACAATATCAAGATAAGATATCATTTTTCAAAAAGGTACTTAGGTGAGCTCTATTTCTTATCATCTCCAGGGAAATTATTTTATATCACTTTTAATAGTTAATTGTTAAAAGTAATGGTGCTGCATAAAATGGTGATATATTTCATGATAACCTGAAATATTGGAAGAAAAATATGTAAGATAAGAAACCTTTTGTAGCTTTTATTTTGATATATTTTTTATACTCTAATTTTTTAGAATTAAGATATACAATCTTTATGAAGGTTTTACCTGAACAACACGTTCAACATTCACCTATGTTATCAAGTCCTCACACCCCATTGCAGCCACTATCAGCGTACTAAGATGCTATGGAGTCATTACTTGTCTTCTCCACGCTGTACTTCCTTCCCTGTGACGTACCAATATTGTGAGTGCTAATTATAAACCCCTTAATCCCCTTCTCCCTCCCCATCCACCTCCCCAACCTCTTCCCTTTGGTAACCAGTAGTCCCTTCTCAGGGTTTGCGAGTCTGCTGTTCCTTCAGTTTTGCTTTGTTTTTATACTCCACAAATGAGTCATCAAATGATATTTTAACAGGAATCTATTACAGGAAAATTTCTTACAGATCTGCATTTTGTTTTTCGAGGTAGTGATCTTTAAAATGGAATTATTTTCTCATATATGCCATCTTTAATATACTTAGATATAATCAGTAGTCTGAAAGATATTACCAATTGTAAAATTATTTTCCTAAAATAAGAAAACAATGTTATTCTCAGATAAAAGTATCATTTCCTAGATTGATAGGACTTTAATTACAGATGAAGAAGTCTATTCTATTTGTCCATTTTACCTTATTTAATCTTAGCTAGCCTATCACAAATGAGGTAATATTACTGTTAAAGACCAAGGATATGGAAAATGAGTTAGGAGAAAAATGGAGAAAAAGTGTTCTGTTTGTACATATATTTAATTAATGGGAAGCCATTTCCTAATCCAGTTATGAAATTTTGTTTAGCTTAATTGTTGTATGGTTTTGAACATCTCATAGTTCTCCTGCTAAAGGTTTATTTAAAAAAATGAACCAAATGTAAATAAGTCATGGTAGTTATAGTTCATCAATCTATTAACCACATTCAAACTGTTTTTTTCTACCTCATATATTTGTTCATACAAAGTGGCTTTTTCAATAGCAAAAATTTGCACACAAAATATAAACTATGGCACATTGTTGAATATAGTTTCACTGTGGAAAGCAGTTCTATCCTCTCTTTAACTTATTTAACACTTTTATTTAAATCATTCTTTTCTGTCATTTAGTAATTGTTTATAAGAAAATTTCCTTGCCAAAGTTACACTTTAATTCTTACTGAATGGTTGTTAGGGGGTTAGATTCCTTGTCCTGTTCTTACTTTCAGTAGTAACTCCCGTAATGGAGACAGGAAACCAGTTTGGAGCTATGCAGTGTTTTATGATTCAAAGGGTGTCTGGTGAATTGTGCTATTGTATACATTTTTCCCCATAACTATCACAAAGTATCCTAGTGCAGAAATCGCTTCTCTGTTTGCTGTCTTCTTCATAAATCTTAAGTATTTTTCTGTCACTTAATGAGATCCTATTTCAGGGTACTTTCCTTACTGGTGAGGAACAAAAGATAGAATCAGAAGTAACAGTCCTGACTGCCCTGGGGAGGGAGTGGAATTGATTGGTTTGTCTTGTGTTTGCTTGCACATGTGTTTATAAAGCAAAACTTTATTAATAATCTTTTATGTGCCAGGCCCTTTGTTACGTAACATAAACACAAAGATAAGGAGAGAACAAGATTTATTTTCTCAAGGGGCACAGTTGAGTTGGGTGAGACAAATGCATAAATATGTAGTATCTGCAGCAGCCCAGAGCCTTTATTGTGCTCAGTGCATTCCTTCCTCACGTCCCCAGCCAGGCCAACTCCACTTTTATTTTTAGCAGACGTAGCGCGATAGCTGTGTTACATCTGATATTTTCGAGAATTTTGATCAGTGGAGTGGGAACCTTTATTTTGAGGACATATTTCTTTTTTACTATTCCAATTCATAGTCAAAAGGAATAATGTTCTTTATTATTAAAAACAAATACCAAAGCCTAATAAATCTAAGTTGTCAATTTCTTCATGCAAAAGACAGAGTTGTCAAAACTCTAATGACCTTTTTAACATTTGTAGTGACTACTTAGCAAACAGAGTAATGTCTTGCTTTATTTTTGGTCATTTACATATAATATCCTCTATAGGATGATTCATAAGTGTAAGACTCATTTTTAGCCATAGATTTTACATTCAGTCAGCAAACAGTCTAAACAGATCACCCTAAATCTGGATATTTGACGAAGACTCTCCTTAATCAAACTGTAGTCAGGTGCCTCTGCATTCTCTTTTTGGCTGGAACTTGCTCTTGAGCTCTGTCCTTTGCCTATTTAGTCATTGTAGGGACTTGCTCTTGGGCTCTGTCCTTTGCCTATTTAGTCATTATAGCAAGACTCCTGTTGGCTTAGTTGGGAGAAAATTCCGTGTCCTTGATGTCTGAAAAAGTTCCTCACCCTCCATCCTTGGAATTTGACCACTCTTGGTATCTGCTGAAATTCTTTATCCTCCATCTAAAATCTTCCCACCCTGGCCTGCCCTCAGCAATAATCCTGTTAAGTCAGTTTAGACAGAACACCCTTAGCCCTGTCGTTTCCTCTTAGTAATTTTCCATCACTGACCTCTACCCTGCTTCTTAACTATAAATCTCCGCTTGCCTTTGCTGTATTCATCAGAGTTGAGCCGGATCTCTCTCCCCTACTTTAAGACCTCATTGTAGTAGTCCCCCTGAATAAAGTTGGCCTCAGCATTCTGTAACAAATGTCATGAGTCATTTTTTCTTTAACATACTATAAGTCAGAATGAGCTACAAGTTTTTATTTCATGTTAATAATTAACATATTAATTAAACGTGTGCATGTGTATGCTATATGATTTTGCTATAAACTTCTCAGTAACCTCCAAAATTAGATATTTAGGGGAAAAAATATGGAAGACTTTGAAATGGACCAAAAAAGATTAGTGGGACTCTTCGATGGAAAACTAAGTACTTTCTAGGATACATTCTTCCTGGTTATCTAATTCAGTAGATTTATGCCTTTAACTGGCTTTGAGCTTTTAACAAGTTTTTTAAATTGTAGATAAGTGATTGAAATGGAAAACTGTTCTTGACCATAGACATCAAATGGATTCTTACAGTAAAGAGACACCTGACCCTACCCCCGGCCCTTGCTTGCCACCCACTTGTGGGAAAAGCCAACAACTGCACCTATCTGCAAATTAATTTAAACATTCCTGATTACTTATATCTCTGTGGTATTATCTGAATTTAAATCTTACTGTGTGCAGAAGAATATGTCCGAGGCTGAACTATAATGTAAGCCTGGACAATAAGGCATGGTTGTTAGAAGTGCAGGAATCATCACAAATACAAGACAAAAACTAGGTACAAAAATTGGTCACTCGATTAATCCTTTTATCAAAGCTCTTTTATATTGAGACACATATTGGGACACAAAGCCAATGTCCTTACAAAACCAGGCCACATCTACCGTCTACAAACGAGTATAATAAAATGAGCATCTTGAAAACGTTCAGAACGCAGGAACTGCTTGCAAAGCACCCTCTGGGGCGCAGGCCTGAGCCCAGTTTCCATAGGAGCGCGCAGATCCGGCGCGTAGGGCTCTGTTCCGGAAGTTATTCCCGTCAGTACCGTTCTTCCTGTCAGAGCTGGTCTCACTTTTCCTCAGGCGTAGGCCGAAGCCGACTGCAGACGAGTTTTGGACGGAAGGGCCTGCCGTATGGGGGCGTGGCCACGCAGCCGACTCCCCGCCAACACAGTTAACGTGCCGGCAGCGGCCAGTCGGTGGCGGCTGCTCTCGCTTTGTAGACCTCTTGTGGCCTGGCTGGGGACTCCGAACCTCAATAACGAGGTAAGTGCCGCGGTCTGGGAGCCGGTGGAGCTCCTTTTCGGGCCTCAGAGCGGCTCTTCTGCGTCCCTCCGTCGAGCGCGTGGTCTGACGCGGAGCGAGAGTGGGGAGCGCAGCTGCAGGTTCCCCGGAGCCCGCATGATGGCAGCAGGACCTCCCCTTCTCGGTCTGTAGGCGTGATCCCTCACACCTTGTGTACCAAACATAATACCCCTCAATCCCCTTCACCCTCCCCACTCCTCCCCTTTGGTAACCGCTGGTCCCTTCTTGGAGTCTGTGAGCCTGCTGCTGTTTTGTTCCTTCAGTTTCGCTTTGTTATACTCCGCAAATGAGGGAAATCATTTGGCTCTTGTCTTTCTCTGTGGCCTATTTCACTGAGCATAATATACCCCGCTCCATCCATGTTGTTGCATGTGGTAGGATTTCTTTCTTTATTCTGACTGAATAGTATTCCATTGTGTCTATATACCACATCTTCTTTCTCCATTCATCTACTGAGGGACACTTAAGTTGCTTCCCTATCTTGGCTATTGTAAATAGTGCTGTGATAAACATAGGGGTGCGTATGTCTTTTTGAATCTGAGAAGTTGTATTCTTTTGGTAAATTCCTAGGAGTCAGAATCCAGGGTCAAATGGTATTTCTATTTTTAATTTTTTGAGGAACTTCCATATTGCTCTCCACAATGGTTGTACTAGCTTACATTGCCACCAGCAGTGTAGGAGGGTTCCCTTTTCTCTGCACCCTCTCCAGCATTTGTTGTTTTTAGTCTTTTCCATGCTGGCTATCCTAACTGGTGTGAGATGATATCTCATTGTGGTTTTAATTTGCATTCTGTGATGATTAGTGATGTGGAACATCTATTCGTGTGTCTGTTGGCCATCTAGATTTCTTCTTTGGAGAATTGTCTCTTCATATCCTCTGCCCATTTTTTAATCGGGTTATCTTTAATTTCTCTCATGAATGTCTTGTAGTTTCAGAGTATAGGTCTTTCACTTCCTTGGTTAGGTTTATTTCTAGGTATTTTATTCTTTTTGATGCAATTGTGAATGGCATTATTTTCCTGATTTCTCTTTCTGCTGGTTCATCATTAGTGTACAGGAATGCAACAGATTTCTCTGTATTAATTTTGTATCCTGCAACTTTGCTGAATTCAGATATTATACCTAGTACTTTTGGAATGGATTCTTCAGGGTTTTTTTAATGTACAATATGATGTCATCTGCAAACAGTGACAATTTAACTTCTTCCCTACCAATATGGATGCCCTTTATTTCTTTGTGTTGTCTAATTACTGTGGTGCTGACCTCCAGAACTATGTGGAATAAAAGTGGAGAGAGTGAGCATCCTTGTCTTGTTACTGATCTTGGAGGAAAAGCTTTCAGGTTCTCGCTGTTCAGTATGATGTTGGTTGTGGGCTTGACATACATGGCCTTTATTATGTTAAGGTACTTGCCCTCTGTATCCATTTTGTTGAGAGTTTTTATCTTGAATGGATGTTGAATTTTATGAAGTGCATTTTCGGCTTCTATGGAGATGGTCATGTGGTTTTTGTCCTTTTTGTTGATGGGGTGGGTGATGTTGATTGATTTTCTAATATTGTACCATCCTTGCATCCCTGGATGAATCCCACTTGATCATGGTGTATGATCCTCTCGATGTATTTTTGAATTTGGTTAGCTAATGTTTTGTTGAGTATTTTTGCATCTATGTTCATCAGGGCTGTTGGTCTGTAATTTTCTTTTTTGGTGGGGTCTTTGCCTGGTTTTGGTATTAGGGTGATGTTGGCTTCATAGAATGAGTTTGGGAGTATTCCCTCTTCCTCTATTTTTTGGAACAGTTTAAAGAGAATGGGTATTATGTCTTCTCTGTGTGTCTGATAAAATTCCGAGGTAAATCCGTCCGGCCCCGGGATTTTGTTCTTGGGTAGTTTTTTTATTCCTGATTCAATTTCTTTGCTGGTAATTGGTCTTTAGATTTTCTGTGCCTTGGTCAGTCTTGGAAGGTTGTATTTTTCTAAAAAGTTGTCCATTTCTTCTAGTTTATCCAGTCTTTTAGCACACAGTTTTTCATAGTATTCTCTAATAATTCTTTGTATTTCTGTGGTGTCCATAGTGATTTTTCCTTTTTCCTTTTTATTCTGTTTATGTTAGACTTTTTTTCTTAATAAGTCTGGCTAGGGGGTTATCTATTTTTATTTTGTCAAAGAACCAGCTCTTGGTTTCATTAATTTTTTTATTGTTTTATTCATCCCAATTTTATTCATTTCTTCTCTGATCTTTATTTTGTCCTTCCTTTTACTGACTTTGTGCCTCATTTGTTCTTTTCCAGCTTCAATAATTGTGAATTTAAACTATTCATTTGGGATTGTTCTTCATTCTTTAAATAGGCCTGGATTGCCATACACTTCCCTCTTAGAACTGCCTTTGCTGTGTCCCACAGAAGTTGGGGCATTGTGCTGTTGTTTTCTTTTCTATCCATATATTGCTGGATCTCCATTTTAATTTGGTCATTGATCCATTGATTATTTAGGAGCATGTTGTTAGGCCTCCATGTTTTTGTGGCCCTTTTTGTTTTCTTTGTACAATTTATTTCTAGTTTTATATCTTTGTGATCTGAGATGTTGGTTGGTACAATGTGAATCTTTTAAAATTTACTAAGGCTCTTTTTGTGGCCTAGTATGTGGTCTATTCTGGAAAATGTTCCATGTGCACTTGTGAAGAATGTGTATCCCGCTTCTTTTCAGTAGAATGTTCTATAGATGTCTGTTAGGTCCATCTGTTCTAATGTGTTGTTTAGTGCCTCTGTGTCCTTAACTTATTTTCTGTCTGGTTGATCTGTCCTTCAGAGTGAGTGAAGTGTTGAAGTCTCCTAGAATGAATGCATTGCATTATATTTCCCCTTTTAATTCTGTTAGTATTTGTTTCACATATGTAGGTGCTTCTGTGTTGGGTGCATACATATTTATCATGGTTATATCCTCTTGCTGGACTGACCCCTTTATCTTTATGTAATGTCTTTCTTTATCTCTTGTGACTTTCTTTTGAAGACTATTTTGTCTGATACAAGTATTGCAACTCTTGCTTTTTTCTCCCTATTAGTTGCATGAAATATCTTTTTTCCATCCCTTCACTTTTAGTGTGTGTATGTCTTTCAGTTTGAAGTGAGTCTCTTGTTGGCAGCATATATATGGGTCTTGCTTTTTTATTCATTCTGTAACTCTGTGTCTTTTGATTGGTGCATTCCGTCCATTTACATTTAGGGTGATTATCGATAACTATGTACTTATTGCCATTGCAGGCTTTGGATTCGTGGTTACCAAAGGTTCAAGGGCAGCCTCTTTACTTCTACCTGTGTAACTTAACTCAATTATTATACTATTATAAACACAGTCTGATGATTCTTTATTTCTCTCCCTTCTTTTTCTTCCTTCTCCACTCTTCATATGTTAGCTGGTTTATTCTGTACTCCTTGTGTTTCCCTTGACTGACTTTGTGGATAGGTGATTTTATTTTTCAATTAGGTAGTATAGAGTTGGTCTACTGCCTTTGCTGTGGTTTTATTTTCTCGGTTTACAGATATTTGGCCTAAGGCATACTTCCATCTAGAGCAGTCCATTTAAAATACACTGTAGAGTTGCTTTGTGTGAGATAAACTCCCTCAACATTTGCTTATCTGGAAATTGTTTAATCCCCCCTTCAAATTTAAATGATAATCATTCTGGATAGAGTATTCTTTGTTCTAGGCCCTTCTGTTTTATTGTGTTGAATATATCATACCATTCCCTTCTGGCCTGTAAGCATTCTGCTGAGAAGTCTGATGATAGCCTGATGGGTTTTCCTTTGTAGGTGAACTTTTTTTCTCTCTCTGGCTTCTTTTAATACTCTGTCCTTGTCTTTGATCTTTGCAGTTTTAATTATTACATCTCTTGGTGTTGTCCTCCTTGGGTCCCTTGTGTTGGGAGATCTGCGGACTTTCATGACCTGAGAGACTATGTCCTTCCCCAGATTGGGGAAGTCTTCAGCAATTACTTGTTCAAACACACTTTCTATCCCTTTTTCTCTTGCTTCTTCTTCTGTTTTTGCTATAATGCGAATATTGTTCCAATTGGATTAGTCACACAGTTCTCTTAATATTCTTTCATTCCTAGATGTCCTTTTTTCTCTTTCTGCCGCAGCTTCTCTTTATTCCTGTTCTCGGATTTATATTCCATTAACAGTCTCTTCCATCTCATCCAGTCTGCTCTTAAATCCTTCCATTGTTTGTTTCATTTCTGTTATCTCCCTCCAGAATTCATCCCTTAGCTCTTGAATATTTTTCTGTGGCTCCATCAGCATGGTTGTGACTTTTATTTTAAATTCTTTTTCAGGAAGATTGGTGATTTTAGTTTCAGCAAGCCCTCTTTCTGGTATTTGAGGGATTTTGTATTGAATAAGGTGCTTCAGCCTTTTCATGGCAATGGAAGTGGTTGCTGGTGAGTGGCGCCTGTGTCAGCTGGGAGAACAAAGTCTGTTCCTGCTAGCGGGTCGCCTTGCCTGTCTCTGCTGTCTATACTGGTTAACTGCACACAGGGAGCTGCCTCTGGGTTAATCCCCTAAGCTGCTGTGGGCGGGGCTGCACTTGGGAAGGCCTAGGGGAAAGGTGGGGGTCACAGATCATTGGCATGTGTTCTGCAGCAACAGCAAAGCCCCTTCGTGCTTCCTGGTCTCTGCACCCATCTCCTCTACTGTGCCAGTCAACCGTGTACAGCACACAGCCCCTGGGTTAATCCTGTAAGGTGCCATGTGAAGGGTGGCCTTTGGGATTGCCTAGGGTGCTGGTGGGGGTCACTCCTGACTGGCACATGTTCTAACGCGAGAATAGAGCCCCTTTGTGCCTCCCAGACTCTATGCCCGTGTCCACTATCTGTGCCAGTCAGCTGCGCATAGGGAGATTCCTGTGTGGTTGCTGTAGGTGGGGCTGCTCTCCGGCTGGTCCACAACAATGGTGGAGACCACCAGTTTGC